ATATGTCTTGAGTTGGTTGGTCGTTGATATAACATGACCTCACAATAAATCCATAAAAATATTTGAAAATTGGAAATAGAATTCAGACAGAAAGACAGACATCCCCAGATTTCAGATGCAATGACGAGTAACTGAAGAACTTCAAGAAATTAGTCTACTTTCTGGTACTTGGTAGCATCTCATTGATTTCAAAATGTAAGCATCATCATGTAACCAAAAAGGTGTACTACCAATGAGAGTATTCCTAATTACAAGTTATAGCAAAGGAAAATGCTAATTATTTGTGGCAAAAACCTCAATCTCAATCATAGTATGAGAACTAGTCTTAAAAAAATAAGAGACCAAATAAGTTGGGCTAAACATATGTAGTATATAACATGCAGAAAGGCAATATGCTCAAATCATGGTATATAAATCTACTATCTACATTAAACAACAAATGCAGATGCAGTATGTATATGCTGTTGGGGTGTGGTGACAGATAAATACCTATTTGTAACATAAATTATGTATGTGATGTATGTGTATGAGAGATAGAATTTGTGTATTATGCAGGAGTCAAAAACTATCAAACTAATTCAAATGCATCCTACTTCTAGTAATAAGTCCAATTTCCTCTTCAAAAAGCAATCGAACAAACATAGAATAGAACAACAACAATGTTTTAACTTTCAACCAGCTGAAATCAAAGATGAAAGATGCATGCTTGGACCATATGTAATACATATGGTTAAGAAAAAATAGAGAAAACAAAAGTACAAAATTAAACAGCACAGTTCAATATGAAATTCAAGCCTTGAACCTATATACACCTTTCTTTAAGTTCATACACTCGAATCCAAGATGACCAAGAATTAAGAATCCTTTGTTTTTGTCTTCTTGCTCATACATTCATTGCTTATTGTCATTTCTACTTATTTATAAGGGAAGTGAATTCAACACTCAAGCACTTGATAATGTGTATGCCTGCAATGCTACAGGCAACTACCTTTTTGTTTTCTTTTGATAGACCTCCCATCAAGAAGGTGTACCACTACAAAGGGCATAAGAGTAAAAGCTGTAAGAGTGCATGCGTTAGTGGAGGATGGTTTGAGGCGTGTGGCATGTGAAGAATCAATTAGTTAGAAGGAAATAATTCAGTTAACTGATTTATGTATAAAAGGGAGAGCTTAAGTAGGAGATGAGAGAATTATCATTAGTTAATTAAGGAGGTCCCCAACTCCTCCAATTGCTAGGACTATCTGTTGCATTTTCTATTTCATTGTAATTTAGCATTGCTCTAGAAATTGCCATTTCTATTCTATTAATACCATATTGAGTTGATCCAGCATTACACTGAGTATTATCATTCAGTTTGTCTCTGTCGAGTTTGCTTATTGTGTTGCATGATTGAGTGAGTTGCTTGGAGTTCTATCAAATTGGTATCAGAGCCTTGTGTGGGTAATGACTAAATTGAGAATGGAACAAAAGGTTGAGGGATTGGAGAAGGAAATGGGTAGTATGGAGAAGGAGCTAGGGGGAATGAAGGAAGAGTTGGGAAGTATCAAGGGATATCTCTTTGAGCTGCGAGAATGGATGAGATTGAAGAAGGAAAGGGAGGTCAGTGCTAGTCGCGATCAGGGCAAAATGACTCTAGGGGAGAATTCAAATAATAGCGACAATGGCGAAGTTGATCGGAATAAAGAAACCGAGAGTTCTAAGGATGAAAGGAAGAGTAAGAAATGATGTTTGATCCCCATAGTCGCCTAAACTACGGTCTCTGCCATGGCTGTCTTCTCTACAAACACAGGTCAGTACTACCAAAATCCTCTAAATTTATTCCTCAGTTATTAGATGAATTTCACAGCAGCCCAGCAAGAGGCCACTCTGGTTTTTTTCAGAACGTATAAGCGAGTGACAAATCTGGTTTATTGGGAGGGCATTAAGAAGGATGTTCAAGCTTTTGTGCAGCAATGCTTGGTCTATCAATTGAATAAGCAATTAGCCCTTAAGTCAGCAGGACTTCTCCAGCCTTTGCCCATTCCCACCCAGGTGTTTGAGGACATTAGTATGGACTTTATAGGGGGGGTTGCCCAAAGCCAAAGGTCAGGACACGATACTGGTGGTCATGGACCGATTAACCAAATATAGTCACTTCCTTCCCTTATGTCATCCCTACACGGCCAAAGAGGTGGCTGCTCTTTTTGTTTTAGAGGTTGTCAAAATGCATGGCTTCCCAAAGTCAACTGTATCTGAAAGAGACCGAGTGTTCAACAGTCAATTTTGGCAAGAACTGTTTAAGGCAGCAAGTACCAAGCTGAAATTCAGTTCGACGTATCACCCTCAAACCGATGGACAAACAGAGGTAGTCAACCGTTGTTTAGAAGCTTATCTCCGTTGCTTTTGTAGCAACCAACCTAAACACTAGCCAAGGTGGTTGGCATGGGCTGAATTTTGGTATAATTCTATCTATCACTGTGCAACCAAGATCACACCATTCAAAGCACTTTATGGTCACGACCCACCCACTTTTCTACTCTTCACCGACTGCCCATCCTTGGTCGAAGAAGTGAACCAGCAGATGGCTGAGCGTAACTCCATTTTGGATACGCTAAAACGTAACTTGAGTGTTGCCCAGGCCCACATGAAAACCCATGCTAATGCTCATCGTTGGGATGTCACCTTTCAGTCGGGAGACCATGTGTTTTTAAAACTTCAACCATATTGCTTCAAGTCTTTGGCTTCTAAACTCAATGAAAAGTTGAGTCCACGTTTTTATGGACCGTTTCCCATTTTAGAGAAAATTGGGCAGGTCGCCTACAAACTAATGCTACCTCCAACAGCCAAGATCCATCCCCTTTTCACGTATCACAGCTTAAGCGTAGCCTACATAGCTCGATTCCCATCCAACCCCTACCCTCATGCCTCATCGAGGACATGGAGCTGTAAGTACAACCGAAATCTGTTTTGGCAGTCCACATTTGGTGAATAGCTCTCAAGAAGTCCTCATTAAGTGGAAAGACACTACAAGAAATTTAACATTTAGGGACGAAATATTTGGGGACGAAGTCAGTTTTGTCCCAAAATGGTTATCTTAAGGGACGAATTTATAATTTCGTAACCAAATGTTTAGCACTCAATCTCCATCCGCGCCAACAATTCCATTTGGAGGGAAGGATCAAAGTAATATGGAGGGAAATCATTCTGGGACAAAATTTATTATTTCTGGATGAAAAATTTTGTAGCTAAACACCTCCTTTTTTTGGGACGAATTTTTTTGTCTTTAATTGTATACAATTTGGAAAACTTATTAGGGACGAAATATGATTTTGTCCATGATTGTAAAAATACATTTTCAGGGACAAAATTTATTATTTTTGGATGCAAAATTTTGTAACTAAAACCTTTTTTCTTCTGTGACGAAATGTTTTTGTCTCTAATTGTACAAAATTTGGAGCACTTATTGGGGACGAAATATGATTTTGTCATAGATTGTGAAAAATGAATTTTTGAGGACGAAATTTGGAACTCATGGTCATCCCAGAATTGTCATTTTAGGGGACGGAATTGTAATTTCATCACAAAATTCTTAGGGTTCAATTTCCCCCCCGCGCCAACCATGTCATTTGGAGGGAAGGATGAAAATAATATAGAGGGAAATCATTATGGAACGAAAATTATTATTTTTGGACGAAAAAAATTGTAGCTAAAAACCTGTTTTTTTCTGGGATGAAATGTTTTGTCGCTAATTGTGCAAAATTTGAAAACTTATTAGAGACAACATATGATTTTGTCCCTGATTGTGAAAAATGCATTTTTAGGGAGGAAATATGGAAGAGTAATTAACAATTTCGTTTGGAGGGAAGAATCAAATAATATGGAGGGAAATTATCTTGGGACGAAATGTATTATTTCTGGATGAAACATTTTGAAGTTAAAAACCTATTTTTTCTAGGACGAAAATTTGGTTCTAGGTAATAAGGGTGTTCAAAACCGGTTCGATTAGTCGGTTTCCATATTCTCCCAAACCGGTAACCAAGCTGAAAATTTAGTTTTTTATTTTCTTTGAATCAAAACCGAACCAGTTTTTTGGATAACCTAAAATTCGGCTCAGTTACTGGTTCGGTTCGGTTTCTGTATTTTTTTTTTTAACACCCCTACTAAGCAAATGTAAAAACACCCAATTCCTTTTCTATTTCATTTGAAACAAAACTCAAACTTGCTTGCTGGTGAATCTTTATCTCCTGCTCTGAAATTGCTTGAAACCCAAGACAAAAAATTGAAAATCATGTGCAAATGGCGAATGAGGATCGACTGAAAATGGCAGGAAGGCGTGGTGGGTACCTTTGAGGATCCTAACATGCTCTAATGGGCCATCGTTTTTCTCTTTCTCTTCATTTTGCTCTTTGCTTCACCCACCACAAAAAAAATGAACTACAATAACACTTTTTGAAAATATGTTACTAATACGTATCTATGGTAGCACTACTTGTGAAAATGTCATGAATATAATTTTGATAGGTAACACTTCATATTTTTATAACTCGTTATCTATCAATTGTTGGATATGGTTAAACCACCCCTAGGTGATCGAGTGGGGTGATAGGGGCTCTTACGTGTATTACTCAAGAGGTCTTGAGTTCAATTCTCCTTGATTGCTAATAGGGATGGCCACATGAAGATTCACGTGATCGTTAACTTTATGACCCTGAAAGATTAGTCAAAGTGGGCACAAGTTAGTCCAGACACACTCAATTATCAAAAGAAAAAATAATAATAATCACAAGCTAGCTTATATTAATTATAGTGAAAAAGAGTAGTTTATTTATCCTTATTTCTATATTAACAAAATAATTTAAAAGGCACAATTTACACTACCGTATCAACAAATCATTAATTTAAGGAGACATTCATATTCTTATTAATAAGACCATTTTTAACCAAAAAAAAAATTGAAATAAATATCTGAATAAATGTAAAAATTAAATCATTTTATTAATTAAAAGAACGAAAGAATTGCAGGAAAATAAAACATCAGCTGCCTTCTCCAACGTTTCATTATTCTTCTTCACTTTTTCATTTTCCAAACGCACACATTTTTATCACTTGCAGTCAAGCCTATTCGATTCTTCTGCTTTCCTAAAATCACAAGGTGCCTTCTAACTATCATCATTCTTCCATCATAATTCTTTTTGATTTGTCTTGAATTGGGCCTTAATTTTGTTCTTAATGTAAAGCATTTATGTCTACTTTTGTCTTGATTATTTGTGAATTTTCAGCCTTAATTTTTACTCTCCGTTAAATCATAGGGTTTATTTAAAGTTTAGAATGTTTATATATCTACTTGATTAGTAAATGGTTTATCAAAATTAGGGCTTTTTTAGTTCAGATTGTTGATTCGAGTTTCAACTCTTTATTAGGGTATTATATGCTTCTAAATGAGCAATCTTTTGTTGGAATTATTTTGGTGCTAGTGCTGTGATGTGGGTTTTACTAATTTAATTACATGAGCCAACAGGGGCTGAGAATTGTAAATGAATTAAGAGGAAGTGTATGGGTATGATTGTGATTGAAATGGGTTTGTTTCTTTGACATTGAATCAGTAAAGCTTTTAACTTTTTGTAACAAGTTTAGCTTTTGTAAGTGTACTGTGTATAAAAAGGATCTTTGCTTTGTAAGTGAATTGGGGAAGTTCATTTTAACACTGAATGAAAGAAATCGATAATGTTTTTAAAATTTACAGGTTACATAGAACCACAACGACTTGTCTGATGGTTCTCGTAATGATAATTTTCATGTTTCAAACACCCGAAGATATGATGCTCTGTTATAGTTGTTTCTGTATTCATAGGGGAATTTATTAGATAGACCTTTATTGAACAAACAGATGGAAAACTTTATAAAACAATGTCTTGTTATTCAAAAATATGTTGAATATTTTTGGATGATACAAATTTTGTGTTGAAACTTTCACATGCTAATGAAGCCAATATTTGTATCATTGTTGTATGGTTCTTTTAAAGCAATTAAATAAAAATGATTACTGGTTACATATACGTGTGTTTAATGCTGTAAATGCACAAAATATATGTCACGTGTATAACCAATTCTTAGAGTTGTCATATTTGACACCTTGCAGTCTTTTTTGTTGCTAGAATTATAGCAGAAACATAATTAGAGAGGTATAAGATTGTTGAGTGAGTAGAGATAGAATAGGTGGGTAAGAGAGTATTAATGGGAATTAGAAGAGTAATAGTGGGAGTATAGTTGTTTCCATGACCAACTATAATGAAGCAAACAAGGAGTAAAAAGAAATAAAAATTAAAAAGAGGAAAAAGAAAGTAGTTAGAGGTCGGGCAATTGTTGTGGCAGCACAAATTGTCATGTTCTTTTACAAAGGTTACTTCCTATTGGCATTCGGGGATGCTTACGAAAGGATATCTCTTCTACTTTAGCCGAGTTGGGAGAGTTTTTTAAACAACTATGTTGTAAGACATTAAAGGTGGAGGAACTTATGAAGCTGCAAGGAGATATCATTTCAATACTTTGTAAACTTGAAATGATTTTTCCACCGGCATTCTTTGATGTAATGGTCCATCTAGCTGTTCATCTACCATCCGAGGCCATTCTTGGTGGTCCAGTCCAATTTAGATGGATATTCCGTATTGAGTGGTAAGATACTATAATTCTAAGTTCTCTACATTTTTCAATAGATTAAATTGTAACAATTCATTTTTAACTCTTAATAGGTTTTTGGGACGTCTTAAGAAATATGTTCGAAATAGAGCTCATCCAGAGGGTTCAATCGCTGAGGCATACATTGCCAATGAATGCTTGACATTTTGCTCAATGTATTTGAGCGATATTGAAACCGAATTCAATAGAGAAGAGAGAAACAATGATATTGTGAAGGGTGGTGGATTGTCAGTTTTTTCGCACAAGTTGAGACCAATTGGAGCAGCAAAATATGTTGACATGGAGAAGTAGATTGATGTGTGTCATTGGTATATCCTAAATAATTGTGCAGAGGTGGAGGTTTTCATTGAGTACGTCATTTCTAATTTTGTTACACTTAAATAATTAGTAGTTGTGGTTGTCACATGATCATAATTGATAACAATACAATACTTTTTAGTGCACATATGGAAGAGCTTATGAAAGCAAGTGAAGTTGATGTAGAAGAAAGACACAAAGTAGAGTTCCCCTTATGGTTTAAACAACGAATAAGTAATTAATTATATATGACAAAGTAATTATATATGACAAAGTAGTGTTTAAATTGTATGTAGTATCATCATACTTTTCCATAAATTTTACAGGTGACACATTTATATAATTCTCGAGCACCAGAAGTTAGTGAGGCATTATATGCTTTAGCTTATGGACCACAAGAAATTGTTAAGAAGTATCACTGTTGCATTGTGAACGGAGTAAGATTTCACACTAGGGATCGAGGTAGCCGACTTAGAAGCCAAAATAATGGGGTTGTTGTTGAAGGGAATCATGGAGATAACATGATTGATTTTTATGGAGTACTCACTGATATTATTGAGTTGGATTACCTGAAAGATAAAACAGTGGTACTTTTTAAATGTGAATGGTTTGACCTTAGTAATAGAAAAGCAAGTATACGTGTTGATGGAAATCTCACAAGTGTCAATGTCAGTCACACTTGGTATGAAAATGATTCTTATGTACTAGCTTGTCAAGTGAAACAATTTTTTTATGTTCCAGACACAAAGTTGGGAAAGAATTGGCAAGTAGTACAGAAATTTCAGCATAGACACTTGTTTGATGTTCCAGAATTACAAACTGAGGCAATGGATGGGGAAGCATTATCTAGTCCAAATGATGAAATTTATCAAGAAAATGAGTTTGAAGAAAATGTGAATGTGGCTATGAAGGGGGATGAAGAAATTGATTTATTGTTGAGAGGGGATATAGATCCAGAAATTTTGGAAGCCAATATAGTAGAAAGTAAGAAAACAAATTTGCAAGAAGATGAGTTCATTTATGATGATAGTGATGATGAAAATGACACACTATCGAATTATTATAATGATGAAGTCAATTATTGTGATGATAATGATAGAGAGTCTGATACATGAATTTGGTAATGTAACTTAATGATTTTTTACATTTTGATTACATGTCTATATAGTTTATGTTATTTTGCATCTTATAATAGATTAATATGTTTTTGTTGTGACAGGTACTTTATTGTAGAAGATGGTTTCAGTTTTATGTCGCCGCTCTAAGGCTAAAGGGAATTCTGCAACTAGTCCTTCTCATGCATCAAATAGGGGTACAATTGTTTCACTTAGTTTAGTTGAAGAGGTCTCCCTAATGTTTTATATTAACTTTATCTTACAAACTTTAGAGAAATATATAGTTGAGTAATTGTTAATAATGATTGTTGCAGACTTGTTTGACACGTGTATACCTAGACGTCCAGCAGCTTCAACAATTCGGTTTTTTGCTTCTTTTGACATGCAACTACTATAGGAGTGGTAACTTTATTGACATCCAAGTAGTGAAGAATATAGTATATATTTTGACATCCAACTAACAAAGAAAGTATAGTTATTTTATACTATTGTTTATATGTTAGTTATAGTTGGATGTGTTTATGAAACTATTGGCTTATATATATATATAATATTTTGTTATTACTTGGTTATTTGTTGATTTGTAGTAGTATAAATTTGATATTAAGTAATATTTTTTACTTAGTTAAAAAGATGTTTCATATGAATTTTTTTACTTTGAGAATCAATACATTTGTTAATTTTCAATCAGGAACAAATTCTCGTTATAATTCATCATAAAAGAAAGGACGGAATTTTTCGTTGGGGACGAAAATTTTTGTCCCTAAATATTGACACAACCAGAGATGAAAATTTTTGTCCCCAATTCATCAACCATCAGGGACGAAAATCTTCATCCCTAATACACTATAGCATGAGGGATGGGAATTTTCGTCCCTAATTCACCATTCCATTAGGGACGAAAATCTACGTGCCCAATTCACCACACCATCTAGGACGATAATTTTTGTCCCTAATTTGCCACACAGACAATGACCAAAAAAAAAAAAAAAAAAATGTCCCAAATTATCCACCCAATTAGGGACTAATTGTGATTTTTTGGGGACGAAATACCATTATTTGGGACAAATAGTTATTCTTTTTGTGGACGAAAAATTTTGTCGCAAACTAAATAATCTTTAGTGACGAAACTGTATTTTGTCCCCAATGACGTGGCTTTAGGGATGATTCGTTTTTCCGTGGGTGTTACCCTTTGGCAACGTAGCTTTGGGGACGATTTGGTATGTCGTCCCGCATTACCTTTAAGGACGAATATTCCACTTTTTGGGACAACTTTTTGTCTGTAAATGTTAAATTTCTTGTAGTGAGACTTAGCCCCATTTGAAGCCACCTGGGAGCTATCGGACACCATCAAGCTTCAATTCCCTCACTTCCACCTTGAGAGTGCCTCTTCAAGAGGGGGGGGGTGTGGTTAGGGGTATTGATCGACCTCCCATTAAAAAGGTGTACCAATACAAAGGGCANTCTTATCTAATAAATATGTATCTTCTTCCAGTGTTAAGGAACGCTCCGCCTAGTCATTACTTGTTAAATATTCAGTCTTTCTCATCTCTTAACAATTTAAACAAGTTCATCTCAGACAATTTTGATGCTGGGGGCTTCGAATGGTATTTTATTTAATGACATAATATCTACTTCGTTTAATTGTATATAACTTTTTGAAGAATTAAGCCAAATAGGGGACTTATTATTTGCTTCAGCAAGAATAATATCAATATAGTGTATACAGATAAGAATAAATATTTATATCTCTTTTTTAACATTTTGAATTTCATCTGCAATTACAGGAAATTGTGTCTCTATCCAAATGGGGACAAGGAGAATAAAGGGGAAGGTCATATATCTGTTTACTTAGAATTGGCAGAAATGAGTTCTCTCCCAATTGGGTGGGAAATCAACGTGATTTTCAATTTTTTTGTATTTGATCAGCTTCAGGACAAGTATGTTACAATTCAAGGTAGCTTATTTCTCTACATATAATTCAACAACATTTATCTTTTCTAGCTCTTTGGTATATATATATATATTTTTTTTCTTTTCTTTTTCTTTTTCTTTTGATGTAGATGGAAGAATAAGGCGTTTCCATTCAATGAAGACAGAATGGGGCTTTTCCAGATTCTTGGACCTGGAAACCTTTCGTAATCCATCAAACGGATACCTTATCAAAGACACTTGTGTCTTTGGTGCAGAGGTTTTTGTTGTCAAAAATACTTTTAAGGGGGAGTTTTTATCAAAGATGGAAGATCCTGCTACTCATTATCATACTTGGGTAGTGAAAAATTTTACGGCCTTAACTGACAAAAAATGCATCTCTGAATCATTCGGACCATACAAATGGTATATGCATGATTGATTTTGGCATTGATTGAATATATATTTACTTCTCGTCGCTATATATTTGCCTATAGCTTACGTTGATTAATGTCTTGTAGGTATGTTGTTCTCTTCCCCAATGGACATAATGAGGGCAAGGGAAAAAATATTTCAATTTATTTATCATCTGATCGGTCTTTTAATGCTAAATTATTTGTAAATTTCATTCTACGTGTCAAAAATCAAAAGACTGGACCTCACATTGAAAAAAAAGGTTAGTTCAATGGGAACCGTCAATGATTTTACTTTTTTTATGGAAGGTTTTTCTCATGAAATTTAATCTTATGAACCTATGCTTCTTCCTTGATTTCAGTTGAAGACCATATGTTTTGTCCAACAGTCGAGGATTGGGGTTTTTCAGAATTTATGTTGTTAGATACATTCAAAGATCCGAAACAGGGTTATTTGGTGGATGACAATTGCATCATTGAAGCTGAAGTTCAATTGCTTGGTTCGGTTAGTTTGAACAAGTCATAGCTCTCCTAAATGTATTAATGCTTCTCTAGCAATAATAGGTTCAGGTTCAGGTTCAGGTTGTGATAAAAATAAATGATACTTAATGTTTGTCTATTATTCTGCATCTTGTAATGTTGCTGGGTAAGAAAGTAAGGGTTCTGATATATAAGATTTGTGGTGCTACTTTGTTTTTATTCGCTAGTGCTGCTGTTCTTAATTTTGTACTATCTTGTATCTCATATTGGAGCTTTTAAGTTATTTGACCATGCTTACAATTAAAACTGTGCCAAAAGTCAGTGAAATGATCAATAAAAAAAATTTTAGAATTTTTCGGCTCTATGAAAATTGAAGCTTGTAACAGAGCTTGACAAAATGAATCTCAAATTTGATCTTTACTAGTTACATATGGGCTCAGGTAGTAATTTTATTTGCTTATATTAACCAACTGAAAGAAGCAAGCTTTAAACTATCAAAATCTACTCAAAACTCGGCACTATCTTTAAGCATTGGGTTTGTAAATACACTAAGAATGAGAAAGGAATAAGGCGTGGAGTAAAATGTTCACATATTTATAAGAGAACTTCGTATGTATGATATTATTTTATTTTGACTATAATATATATTAAATATTATTTATTTTAGATAAAGAGGGAAAGCAAATCTTTAATGATTGTGCATATCTGCATTAATTTCGATTGCAGTAGTAGTTTTATTTTCATAGTACAAGCGGCCATATATGTCTGCATTGAAAACAAATTCTTTACCCTTACGAAAATAATGATTTGAATGGGAAAGGCTTATCTACTGACAACTATTATGAAAAATAGAGGAAAGAAAACTGGGTTCAAAGCCGATGAGTTCCACTTATGAGAAATTTAATAATAAATACTAGCTGGCTCATTCAAAATTTAACTCTGTAAACTCTTAGTAATTCTCTGCTCTCTCTACTTTCTACGCAACAATATTATTTTTCTACAGTTGAAAATATGGAGTTCAAGAACCAACTAAAGGAGCCATTTTAATAGGTATGTATTTCACGCTAAAATTATTAAAGCTTTTATGTAAATGAACAAATTGATAATTGATAAACCTTACCAGAATGTTTCATCAAATTTGTAAAATATTATTTGATGAAAACCATACATCAATTGTCGACTGTTAAAGAAGTAATTGCAACATGTTTCATCAGAATTAAGAGACTTTTAATTTATCAAACCAAGCAAAGTAACTTCTGCTTCAATGATGCAAGTGTTATTAACTTCTGCTTTAATTTATCATATATATGGTTTTTATTTCAAAGTACGTCTATGCTTTCTGCTCCCTTCTCCTAATTTTGTCAGACATTATACTATGTAATTTTTAACTGGCATAATTAGGAGTTCAGTAGATTGTATTCTCTCTATATAAAGAATGTAACTCTTTAGTGAAATCAATAAATTGAAAATATAATTCTTCAAAACAAATATTCTACACTTATATATTCTAGATTAAAGTCACTATTTGAAACTCTTTGGATACATTATTGTCAATTCTTTCTTTCATATTTATAATTTGTTAGAACATAATTTTATCTAATCATTAGATGATGATCCAATCATCCAAAACTATAATCGGTACTCAATACTCAATACTCAATATGTATAGACATTATTAAATTTTCTATAGTGGACCTAAAAGTAAAATTTTAAAGATTAAATTAATTTGATGTGCCATTACTAATATAACCTTAATAAAAGAATAAAGGAACTGACTAGTTACAAGGAAAGGGAGGTATATGTACATGACGTAAAATTTTGTAGATGTAATATCAAGAAATTACTTTATTCTTTTCTGATATTGGGTGATTGAATTTGTAAGGCATCAAACATCCAATAATTATATTATAAAAGCCGGTCATACCTAATTAGGAAGAAGAAACAAGAGGCAAAATCCAATTAATTATTGATTATTCTTTCCACAATTGGAAATATATATATGGAGTTTAAGAACTCAACAGAAGGAGCCGTCCTAAGAGGTATGGATATATCCATTCTTGATTTCAAGTACAATAGTTAATAAGTTCATTTAATTTTTATCACAATTAACCATGCAGTTTTCCTTATCTAACAAATTTGTATCTTCATCCAGTGTTAAGGGATGCTCCACCTAGTCATTACTTGTTAAAAATTCAGTCTTTCTCTTCTCTTACCAACTTAAACAAGTTCATCTCAAACAATTTTGATGCTGGGGGCTTCAAATGGTATTTTATTTAATGAGATAATATCTACTTTGTTTAATAACTTTTTGAAGAATTAGACCAATAGGGGACTTTTATTTGATTCAGCAAGAATACATTTCAATATATGTATACAGATAAGAATAAATATTTATATCTCTTTTTTAACATTTTGAATTTCATCTGCAATTACAGGAAATTGTGTCTCTATCCAAATGGGGACAAGGAGAATAAAGGGGAAGGCCATATATCTGTTTACTTAGAATTGGCAGAAATGAGTTCTCTCCCAATTGGGTGGGAAATCAACGTGATTTTCAATTTTTTTGTATTTGATCAGCTTCAGGACAAGTATGTTACAATTTAAGGTAGCTTATTTCTCTACATATAATTCAACAACATTTATCTTTTCTAGCTCTTTGGTATATATATATTTTATTTTCTTTTTCTTTTTCTTTTGATGTAAATGGAAGAATAAGGCGTTTCCATTCAATGAAGACAGAATGGGGCTTTTCCAGAT